GCAGCAGAGGAACAAACAGGAAGTGATGTATAAGTATGTATCAATGAAAAGAAAAACACATGTTGGTGTCGCATGACGATCACACACGTTTTTATAAATATTAATATTATTATTATTGTGTTTATGTGTAACATAATATATCTCTGTAACACATTCGGACTTTGTGGAAGTGTATTTTTACTTTATGTATTTTACATATACTAAAAATATATTGTACATACCATGGTTTACCTTATTGTGTTATTGTGTGTTATTGTGTGTTGTTGTGTTATTGTGTATATTGTGCTTGTTATTGACACTGATACCTACAGTTAATAATCGTACAGTTCACACGTGGTGCTGCAGTCAGACTTTCTATAATCTGAGATTTTGTAATGAATACATTGAACTCTTTAGTGTCACCTCATTAATTTATTTATTTATTTTATTTATTCCCTTATTTTTTAGTTATTTATTTATTTTTCTTTTACCTTTCGGCTTGTGTCTGAAGTCTTATCTGAAATTCACATTATATATTATTATTATTATGATTAATTATCCTGACAGTCAGAAAATATTTATTATAGACAGTTATTAATGTCTCATTTAAATTATTTTAAGGATATTATTAAAGAGACATATTAATGTGTTTAATCTGTGAATGTGCTTTGAAGACGTCATGTTATTCTGATTTTATTTGGGTGAATTTCAGAGAACAGCAGAGTTTGTTTCTGATACTGACCCGTCGTCCTCTTCCTCCTCGTCTCCCATCCGTCCATCCACTTCCCAAACTCAGTGAAGGCTGACGGGATGAATTGCGGTGGCTCTCTCTGTATGAACACACTTAAAGTTAACGTCAGATGATATTCCCTCACCTTTGTTTACTCAGTCCCACACACACCATCCTGCTGCCCTAAATGTGGATTCATTCACCACTGAAAACAGTCCCCAACAAACGAACTGTTCCCTCTAGTTGGTTTGATGAAGACGACAATAATCAGCTGTTTGACAGACGAACTGTTAGTTTAGATCTGAGACATGAGCACCAAACATATGCTCATTTATAAATCAGTTACTCAGCCTGTGTTACGTTGAATTCAGCTCTCAGACGAACGCACAATCTGAAAACATTCTGGATGAACTGAAGTCAATGGATCCAACATGTTCAATGACAAACTACATCAGAGTGTAGTTTTGTTTTGTTGCTAAATGTGAACCCTGTTGACTTCAGTTCATCAAGAATGTTCTGAGTTTTTGGGATTCTCCGTTCACCTTGATGGTCTGAGAGAAAAACAAAGTTTTCTTTATGACTTCAGTGAAACAGGTGGAGAGTAACTGATGTATATGTGATCATGTTACAGGTGAAGTTTTTCTTTATTAAAAGAAAAATCACTGCCCATGTTTTCCTAATTTACCTCCAAAAAAAGGAATAGATATCATTCTGCAAATTCCCACGCAACATAGAGGTCTCATCTCAAAAATTTATAATACTATCACATCATTCAATAAAGTGATGCTGGATAAGATTAGAGCAGACTGGGTAGAAGAACTTGGGATAAATATCTCCAATGCAACCTGGGATGATGCTTTATATAGAGTAAATGGGTCAACCTCATGTGCTCGCCTTGGCTTAATTCAGTTCAAGGTGCTCCATCGAATCCATTATAGTAGAGCCAGACTCTCTCGGATCTATTCTAATGTCAGTGAAACATGTGAACGTTGTCATATAGCTAAAGCTGATCTGGCCCATATGTTCTGGTCCTGTAATAAACTGTATAATTTTTGGATTACGATATTTAAAACTTTATCTGAAGCTTTTAGCAGAGATATCCAACCTAGTGCTGAAATGGCTATATTTGGAGTCCCAGGAGAAGATTCATCAATGACAAATAAAATTAAAAACGTGCTTGCTTTTTCAACTCTCCTTGCCCGGAGAAGAATCCTGTTGGAGTGGAAATCAGCACATCCACCCAAATCCTCCTCCTGGATGAAAGACCTGATTTTATTTCTAAAGTTGGAAAAGATAAAATATTGCATTAGAGGGTCAACCCAAAAATTCTATGAAACATGGGCCCCTCTACTATCTTATTTTGAGAAACCTGAAGTCCTCCCACAAGACTGAAAATTAAGAAGGGATGATTCCATATCCACTTTTTCTTATTTTTATTTTTTATTTATTTTATTTTATTATTATCATTATTATTGTTTTTACTTATGTATTATTATTTTAATCTTGTATATTTTCATACCTGTAACCTCTTCCGTATATCATTGGAGGTGTGCCTTTCACTCACCAAATTTATTTTTAATATTTAATTTATTTTTCGTGTTGGCAGCATGGTGGGGATGGGTGGGAGGGAAGAAAATAAGAAAAATGATGTATGTTGAATATCTGTAATGAATGTTCATTTCTTCAAATAAAAACATGTTAAAAAAAAAGAAAAATCACTGAACTTTATACTGAGAACAAAAATCAAACATTGTTGACATGGTGAATCAGTGTTGTACCTTCAGCAGGTTGGCAGCAGGAGCGAACCATTCGTCTGTAGCAAAAATAACCTGAAGGAACAAAAACAGAACACACAGTCACCAAACTTCAACGCGAACCAAAAAACAGGCCTGAAAATATGACACAGCATCCAGATGTTAAAGCTCAAAGCTGCACAGATACAGGCCACCATCTGGAGATACGAATAAGTTTATTAATTTCAGATTAGTTCAGACTGAGACTTCACATCCGCACGAAAAGTAAGAAGCTACAGCCGCTTAGCTCAGCTTAGAATAAACATTAGGAACATGTAGAGACCGACCCTGAGGTTGGACTAAACTAACTAACTCTATATAAAGCAGCAGCTCCATCAGTAATGTGCTGCTGTGACCTGATGATGTCACAGACAGTCACATATGTAAACGCTACAATCAGCTGTGTGGAGGGAAACGCATTAAGTGTCTGATGAACGTTAATCATCTCAGATTAATTAAAAAAAATCAATTCACAAATTAAAAAATGTATTTAGGCTACATGTTTGTTTAATTTACTGTGTTTTAACATGTCTGATCAAATGTGTTTAGTTACCAGAGGTTATTAACTTAATTAACATGTGTGTAGAACATGTGAATGTATTTGTGTTTGTATGTCAGTGACTCACCTTCCCGCCGACCGCCTCACAGGCCAGGTCATTAAATTGCAGGAAGTTGGGCTCAGCTGTTGTTGTCACCGCCGCTCTCCTTTCTGCCATGATAACACTTTAAGTTTCTCCTAAAACATGAAGAGAGACATTGAAGCAGTTGCTTGCTGCGTCTCCACCTGAAGGACGACTCAGACCGCCTCTGTCCTGCAGGACAAAGTTCATCGACTGCTCAGTCACACACAGTACACTCTTTATTTATACAGTGAGGGGTCACTGACTTGCTGCAGTCAGGTGTGAAGCTCAGATCGCTCCGTTAATTCTCTGTTGACACGGATCATCGACCTCCATGTTTACAACCTTCAGCTGAACACGTGTGTTACATCACACACGTGAAACACGAATCTGCTCTGCTCTGTACAGGAAACAGGTGTGAAAACAGATACGTGAACTATCATCAGTTTTAGAGGTAGCAGAACTTACAGTAACAGATTACTTTCAGCAACAAAGTAATACAAAGAGTTACGGAATGGGAAATGCTGAGCATTCTGGGAGCGGTGCCGCCATCTTGACAGGATGAGCGTCCGCAGCCTCATTCTGTCAGTCGTTCATCATCAGGAAGAAAAAGAAGTGTGATTAACAAACACTGATACACAGAGAAACATAGACAAGTGAAATATTACAGAAGTTATTATTCAGGATTTAATAATATGTGGTAATAATATGTGTCTCAGCTGCCTGTTTACAGTCGGCTCTGTGCCTTGTCATGATTAATTTACATCGTACCAAAATGATTGTGACGATCAGTGTGTCCCCGAGATACCACCTAAAGATGAATACATGAAAGTGTAATAGGTACATGTATCCTTTCATTTAAAGTTTGTGGAGGTTCTGATCAGGACTCTCAGTGATGATATGGAGGGTGATAACTGCGTGAGATCTGATGCTGCTTCATTTCCAGACTTTATTAATTCTCACAGTTCATGTGAGCAGGTGGAGAAGATGAAGGTGAGCTGACTGAAGAAAGAAAACTGTCAGCACTGGGGCATGTCCGGTGACAGTTAGGGTTACTGCAGTGACCTTACACACAGACCATCTGAAAACGTGAGTCGTACTTGGTGAAATATATTTAAAATAATATCAAAAACTACTGACACTGTTCTTTATTATATGAGAGGATCCACAGCTGACCTCGAGTGTCAGAGGCATCCAAACCATCCGTCCCCTCTGTGCTGCTGCTGGGTTGAATGATAAAGTGAACCACGAGGTGAGAGATGTCGTTAAACATATAATAATTCATCTCACATACAATACATAATACAATCTCAGTTCACCTCACCATCTGTGTCCGAACTGCTCATGGCTCAGAGTTTCTCCACAGCTGCGCACATTCTGACATCAACTCTGTTTTTATAAATCACAATGTATTAGAATTAGTGTTTTGGTTTCTTATGTGGTCTCTAGCACCGCCCTGTGGTGATTGTAAGTATCTGCACTGAAGAGGAGGTGAGCTAATTGACAAACAGGAAACAGTGAGCATCTCATTGTAACAGTCTGCATAATCCTTGGCCTAAAAGTCCACACAACGGCTTCATCTGTAAGTAATCTACACTGCAAAAAGATAACCGTAAAATCTACAGTAACTTGCTGGCAGCAAATGGCAAGTAAGTTGCTGTAGTATATTCTACAGTATGCTTACTGTAAATCACATATACGGTAATATTATTAAGTACTGTATTATTCTTGAAAGTAATAGTAACAGTACTGTAATACTCCTTACAGTAACAGTGCTGTGCTATATTTTTTACCGTATTTATTACTGCTAATATAAGACTACTGTAATAAGAATTATTGCATTAATTTTTAATACTGTGAATCAATAACTGTGGAATAATTGCCTACTGTAAAATCAAGACACATTTAGTCACCAAAAATGCATTTATTCTTGTTAATGCCAAAGATTACAAACAATACAATGAATGAAACATGTGAACACAATATGTCTTCCAGGCTGAATCTGATCTGAACACGCCATCATTATACATTTTCAATAAGTTTTCTTTTGACAATCCATCAATAACATTAGAAACTTTTTCATCTGGAATTTCAAGCTTTGATAATTCTTCACAAAGTCCACTGAACATTTGGGACATAACATTGTGCAAACTTCTTGGAACTCCTCTATCAGGGGATATTAAGGACACAGATAAAATAATCTTTGTTTAAAACCAAAAGAGACAAGTAAAAAAGAGCCAAATACGTAAGAAAAAGATTTTTTAAAAAAAGAAAAACATGCCTGTTCAGGTAGCTCTGATCATAGCCAGCATTTCTTGTGCGTACACATCAGGGTAGTGGGCTGGTCTCTCACTTGTTCGCGTGGGTGTAAGTCTTCTTCCTGGCAGTGGGTGGAAAAATCAAACATTCATTATAAACAAGAATGATGGTATTTTGTCACCAAGAGATGTCACCAATAAATGGCGTGTTTGTACAATGTGTGTGTGCATTTCATGAAAATATTAAAGAAAACGAGAAACAGCGACGGCATTCAGATCCAGGGCTAGTGTTATGACAACAAGCTGAAGGAGTCAGAAAGCTGTCTCTTTTAGGTCGCCACTGGCGAGGTCATGCAACAAGTTTCCATTAGATAGGTGCAATTCAACCAGTACACACTACAACCAGTCCACTGACACTGACACTAAAACCAAAAGAGACAACTTCCTGACTCCTTCAGCCTAAAGATAAAATGAGTGAATTGTCTCACCTGGTATCAGTTCTTACAATCATAATCGATGAAGACCCTTATGAAGGAAGCGACGTGTGGGTTGAGGGACTCGTTCTTCCTCTGGACCGTCATTCCAGTCCTTCGGCTCACCTGCATCTTTGCAGCACACTTGCTGTGTTCCAGATTTATCCTGACGAAGAATCTGGAATTACAAATACCGAACCCCAGTCGTTACATCCCAGCACTAGCCTGGATCACACCACAGACTCCACCCACTCCACTGTGTAGGAAGAAGCTTCAGTTTGATACTCTGGCTATCCCAGCACTCCATCCCGTCCCATTGCATCCCATTTTGAAGATGTATAGACTACGTGCTTAACTGTAGGCCACCTCGAGTACTACCTGGATGAAGCACACACATCGGTTTCCTCTCAAATACTAATGGATGAAGTGATTAATGACAGGTGTGCAGTCAGGTGAGGGTATTGTCTTGGTTTAAAAACTGGATCCTTTCTCTTAGCTGTTTGCCTAAACAGAAATATCCATTGCCCATCCGCTCTCCCTCTTCTGTTCTGTCTTCTAAAGACTCTGGGTATATGTCTACTATAGTCTTGGCCAGTTCAACACACTGCCTGAGCGGGGGGGTTCAAGCAAACCTGTTTGATGTTGTCTGCGATGACTCGCACCATATGAAGCCTATCTTCTCTTTTTGGTCTCTCCTTCTCAGCAAGACACCTTCTCAAACTTGGTCGCGTTTTCTCCCATGGCACGGCAAATGTAGACACCCATGTGCTATTCTGGACAGGAACAGGGCTTGTTGTAGCAGCCAATAAAGGCTCTGAATTAGGTGCTGTGTCAGTGCAAGGTACAAGTGTCAAAATAATTTCTTCTGGCCTTGGCTGAGTGTTGTCTTGTGCAGCTAAGAAAGAAAAAGCACCAAATATCTAGGTTAGAGAAGGTGTGTCATGACAACACCATCAATGGCTGCTGCTTTGCACTGTGTGCAAAGCACTGTCTATGCACCTAATAATGCAATATCAATTACATACAATTACAGATCATATTGTTGTGTTCTGTAGTAACAATGGTGAATAAAGGAGATCTGAATCTGAATTAGTGATTTAAACATACATTGTCACTAGATCTTTTACTCAATAACCTGAAGTCTAAATATTAACATATCCGTATTGTATTATGTTCATGGTTGTTTATTCATTGTTGATGATATATGTGACTGTGAACTACATATTTATTTTGTGTCGTCTATTAAGTTCATATGGGCTGAGCACAAACTGAGGTGTTAGACACAAACATTTCTATTAATCAATGAAAATTTCAATGAATGAATTAATCAATCAATCAAACATATGGAATGAATAGTTTCGGGATCAGTATGAGGATTTGTTATTTGTATTTTGTAACAAATTGTACATATTTTAACTCAAATACATAATAATGTACCTTTCTTGAATGTGTGGATTAGTTTCCTGCAGTCTACTGGTGGCAGGATGTGGCTCAAATAAGTGGCATTTATGAATTCCAGGTCCTCAGCTGTTCTCACACCCATGGTTGTCAAGTCTAGTAAAATCTTGTTCAATGACTCATTTTCCAGATAGGGGAGGGCACCTTTTACTGTTTCTTCCATGTCTTCCATTACACTTCACCTGAAAAGACAGAATGATGAAGTGCAGTCACCTCAAGGTCAAAGAGCTTGTACAGTGGTAGTGGGTAATAATCAGCAAGGGTATCCACACTAACACAAACAAAGTGGGCCGCGGTGTCATGCTGCAGGATGTGAACACCTACATCCAAAGCTGGGACGGAGTAAGATTTTTCACAAACAAAATAAACCTTCTCCTGACTGACCAGAAGCAGAACAATCCTACCAACCTCATAACCTTGGTCATTAACCCTGAGGAATACAGCCATTCCTTTCCGATATGTAGTGCCCTTGTATGTGACAGAACCTGTTTCGACTGTGTTTTCTTTCCTAAGACCTCTTAGTCTAACAGCTTTTTGAATGTTGTCATTGTACAATTCATCATGGAATTCATTGGCTTGGTCTACTTGAAGTATGGGTGGGAACAAGTTCCCTGCGTGTAAATAGGCCTGTAGCAATTGATGCCTTTCTGCCAAAGTGGTACAGAGGTTTTTAAAGTTGTGGAGCTTCCGTGCACATTCTTTAAAATATGTATGTTTACTCTCAAAGCGGAGCGTCCAGAGGCGAATGAGTGGTCCGAACTTTATTATAAGGTCTGGGTAATGGAGAAGGAAGTGATGTTTTGGCTTTAATGGTTTGTCTGAAAACACTGTTGCTCTGAGCTCCAAATATTCCTCAACAAGTAACTTAAGATAGGCTACCTGGTTTGTGTGTATTTTGGGAGCACATACCAGTTCGACAATCTCTCGTAGCTTCAGACACAACTGCCAGACTTGGTCTTCAAGTGGATTCTTGATACAGTACAGGCCAAAAGTTTGGACACACCTTGTCATTCAATGCATTTTCTTTATTTTCATGACTATTTACATTGTAGATTCTCACTGAAGGCATCAAAACTATGAATGAACACATGTGGAGTTATGTACTTAACAAAAAAAGGTGAAATAACTGAAAACATGTTTTATATTCTAGTTTCTTCAAAAAAGCCACCCTTTGCTCTGATTACTGCTTTGCACACTCTTGGCATTCTCTCCATGAGCTTCAAGAGGTAGTCACCTGAAATGGTTTTCCAACAGTCTTGAAGGAGTTCCCAGAGGTGTTTAGCACTTGTTGGCCCCTTTGCCTTCACTCTGCGGTCCAGCTCACCCCAAACCATCTCGATTGGGTTCAGGTCCGGTGACTGTGGAGGCCAGGTCATCTGCCGCAGCACTCCATCACTCTCCTTCTTGGTCAAATAGCCCTTACACAGCCTGGAGGTGTGTTTGGGGTCATTGTCCTGTTGAAAAATAAATGATCGTCCAACTAAACGCAAACCGGATGGGATGGCATGTCGCTGCAGGATGCTGTGGTAGCCATGCTGGTTCAGTGTGCCTTCAATTTTGAATAAATCCCCAACAGTGTCACCAGCAAAACACCCCCACACCATCACACCTCCTCCTCCATGCTTCACAGTGGGAACCAGGCATGTGGAATCCATCCGTTCACCTTTTCTGCGTCTCACAAAGACACGGCGGTTGGAACCAAAGATCTCAAATTTGGACTCATCAGACCAAAGCACAGATTTCCACTGGTCTAATGTCCATTCCTTGTGTTTCTTGGCCCAAACAAATCTCTTCTGCTTGTTGCCTCTCCTTAGCAGTGGTTTCCTAGCAGCTATTTGACCATGAAGGCCTGATTGGCGCAGTCTCCTCTTAACAGTTGTTCTAGAGATGGGTCTGCTGCTAGAACTCTGTGTGGCATTCATCTGGTCTCTGATCTGAGCTGCTGTTAACTTGCGATTTCTGAGGCTGGTGACTCGGATGAACTTATCCTCAGAAGCAGAGGTGACTCTTGGTCTTCCTTTCCTGGGTCGGTCCTCATGTGTGCCAGTTTCGTTGTAGCGCTTGATGGTTTTTGCGACTCCACTTGGGGACACATTTAAAGTTTTTGCAATTTTCCGGACTGACTGACCTTCATTTCTTAAAGTAATGATGGCCACTCGTTTTTCTTTAGTTAGCTGATTGGTTCTTGCCATAATATGAATTTTAACAGTTGTCCAATAGGGCTGTCGGCTGTGTATTAACCTGACTTCTGCACAACACAACTGATGGTCCCAACCCCATTGATAAAGCAAGAAATTCCACTAATTAACCCTGATAAGGCACACCTGTGAAGTGGAAACCATTTCAGGTGACTACCTCTTGAAGCTCATGGAGAGAATGCCAAGAGTGTGCAAAGCAGTAATCAGAGCAAAGGGTGGCTATTTTGAAGAAACTAGAATATAAAACATGTTTTCAGTTATTTCACCTTTTTTTGTTAAGTACATAACTCCACATGTGTTCATTCATAGTTTTGATGCCTTCAGTGAGAATCTACAATGTAAATAGTCATGAAAATAAAAAAAACGCATTGGCCTGTACTGTACGTGTACCTACAAGGACAGGGAGAAGACGTAGTAAGCACCAGTTCTGTGCTGCACTTCCTGCTAACTTCTCACATCAGCTTTAACCACACAAGGGCGGTTATTAGCATCACTGCCTTTGTACTTAAGTTCAGAGATCCTCCTATTCAGCTGCACAAATGTGAAGTGTTTTCCAGTGGATACAAGATGTTTGAGGTAGAGTTGGAGATCTGTAGACACAATACCCTCAAAGAGATCATGACCAAGACATGGCGGAAGTCCTGGTTTGCAGACATGGAAATGCTCCAAAGAATTGAAAATGGAGTCAAATTTTATACCATCTACAATGTTCTCAGATCCCTCAGACAAGATGTCCACACTACTCTTATAGTTTTCTGGTGTCCTTGGTGAGCCTAGATTTGTAGGATCACTGGCAAATTCATCTCTGGTTATAATACAGTACCTACAGAAATGTTTGCTCTTACTGAAATTCTCAGTGAAGCCTCCAAGTGAATGTGAGCCCAGGTTGTCACTAGCGATTGCAACTACTACCCCTTTCACTGTCTCACCTGACTCCAAAGTAATGCCAGATTGCTCAATGTCTTTTAAGTCTTTTACAAGGGAAGAGAACACTTTCTCATGTCCAAAAAATTGGTAGTCAGACTCCCTGCAAAGCATGACTAACTGCACAGGTTCAATGCATGACCTGTTATGAGGCAATATCTCGCCAAGTGACATGTACACAGCTAGTTGCTTGTGTTTCTTTTTTCCTGATCCAAAAGGATTCACAACCTCAAAAGCATCTTGGTACAAGATAATTGAAAGTGAGGAAGGCAACTCTTGTAAGAGGGTGTTTTGTTTAAAGGTTTTACCATCCCTCACATCCTCAAGCACATCTGGATCTTCTGGGGGGTGCATTTCTGACACACTATATTGCTCTCTCACTGATGGCAGGCTCAACAGGGCTGTTAGTAGGGGTGTAACGATTCATTTTTACAACGATTCAATTCATATCATTTTCCATGGTTCTGATTCGATTCAAGAACGATATTTGGCTCATCTAGAACGATACGATTCAATTCGATTCAAGGGCTAGAAATCGATTCAGTAACTTTTTTTGTTTTGCCAAAAACTGAACCAGTGTGACTGTGAAATACATACCTGAATACTGTGGACAGTGCAGGGGAGTTATTAATTGAAAGAGAATCAGGGATTAATTAATTTTGGATATAAATAAGTAAACACAATGATTAATGGCAAAAACATTCACCTTTTATTAAATACTATAATTATCACAAGTTCAGAACCTGCTGATCAAAAGACAAAAAAAGTGTGATCAACATTCCTCCAGGCTGAATTACAACTGAACAGTAGGTTTCCCTGCTACTTCTCTTGTGATTTTCAATCAGTATAAGAAGAGTACAATAATACACAAAAATAAAGTGCAACCTATTAGGTTGAATGGACAGTAGGTTTCCCTGCTACTTCTGTCATTTTACTCAGTATAAAAGGAGTACAATAATATACAAAAATAAAGTGCAACCTTACCTATCAGGTTGAATGGACAGTAGTTTTCCCTGCTTCTTCTCTGTCATTTTACTCAGTCAGTACACATTCGACAGACAGCCACCGACTTGTCCAGAACACCTCCTTTTTTGCAGAAACCAAAGTGTTTCCACACACTCGACTTCAAATTTGGCTTGAAAATCTCCAGCTCGTCCGCCTCCTCTTTGCTGTGTTAGCCATGCTTCATTTTGTTTTGAGTCGGCACTACCAGCACATTCCGATGATGTCACACTCAGGGAGAGTGAAGCGAATCGAGCAACTTTACGATTAGAAGTGATAAAAATACATGTATATAATGTTGTCGTGCTTAAATAGAACGCACAAATGCTTAGTAATCGATATAATCGATTTTTGACCTTGTAAATCGATTTCACAGCGATATCGTCATCAGTGAGGGACAACTTGCCAAGGCTCTATCGATGCAGTTAGATTGTAGGAAAATAAATCGATGCATCGATGTAATCAATGAATCTTTACACCCCTAGCTGTTAGTGTCTCCTTAAGTGGGACATACTGGTAAAACTGCTCTTTACCAGAGGCATCAAAACCAAGACGGACCTTTACAGGCTCAACATAACTTAAGTTTCTCTTAAAATATGTCTTACGGGTTGAATCTGATCTGAACACCCTCTCATTAGACATTTTCAATAAGTTTTCTTTTGACAATCCATCAATAATACTAGAAACTTTTTCATCTGGAATTTCAAGCTTTGATAATTCTTCACAAAGTCTACTGAACATTTGGGACATAGCATTTGTGCATACTTCTTGGAACTCCTCTATCAGAGTGGATATTGTGGACACAGGTAAAAGCATCTTTGCTTGCATCCTCAAGTAAAACAGAGCCAAATTGGTAAGAAAAGGATCCCTGTCTTTATCTCCATCACCAACATCAGGGGGAAAGTTAACAGTCTCTGTCATGTCAGCTTCCATATCAAAATCATCATCATGCATTCCTGTGTTATCCGTGCTCACCCTTCCATCTGTGCTATCTACCAACTCTTTTGCATGTTTCCGGCTTATGTGTGATGTGAATGATGATTGGATGCTGAATTGCTTTTGACAGCTACTGAAGGGACAGACAATCCTTTTCCCATCCCTCATGTGCATCTTTAAATGCCCACACACACTTGAAAACTGTGAACTTTTAAAAGTGCACCCCTCAACCTGACATTCCTCAACGAAGCACTTGCGAGGTCTAACGGCAGGTTTAGGTTTTGTGTGGTTGCGGTACATGTGTGTGCGCAAGGCAGACCAAGCCTTGAAATTGAAGGGACACATCCCGCATGGAAACCTATGGTTGGCATGGTTTCTGTGTACTTTCGCATGGTTTACATACTTCGGTATTGTTTCTGCAAAAAAGCCACACTGCCTACACTTGAAAAACATTGTCAAAACTGTTGGTTCGTTAAGATATGAAAGTCACTGTTACCTCTTCAATTCGGTGATGCTAACTAACGTTAGCAAGGGTTTTCCGACACCAGCAAAGACAAAAGGGGTTTCCAGAAGGCGATAGTGGTCCTTCCTAAAATGGACAACAACCGTTAGACAACCATGTCCTAAGGAAAAGAACAAAGTGCCGCTTTAGGGCACAACACGACTGACGTTACCGTTAGCTAGCTAACTTAGCTAAGCTGCCAATTTGCGGTACCGCAGCCGCCGTCTTGTTTGGCAACTCCACCTGGACAAACTTCATTCCGTCACTTACCGTACGGCCTGTTCGCGCACTTTCGGACAAAATTCAGTTCACTTGCTAAGTTGATGTAACTTCGGGCAGTGACAGTTAGCTCCAACCGAATAAGCTAACAAATTTAGCTGTCAGCTAACGTTGCACACCACACCACACGTTACACAATTCAAACGTTAATGTTACTAACGTTACTAATTAAACTCACCAAGCTAAAAGTTAATTTGTTAAGTCTAGTCTAGCTTCTCTCAGGCGAATTCTCTTACCCCAGAGACAGTACTAAGCGAGCTTGTAGCTACCGATGTCATTGGCAATGAGTCAAAGGGTAAAATAGACTATCAGGGCAGGTGTAGCTAGTCTACAGTTAAGTGAACACAGGCTGCTTTTTCTCTTCCACTGAAATGTAAATTGTTAAGTGTGTGCAGTTAACTTACCAGCTTTGCCTTTGTAACACCCGTCCTGTTACCGCTAGAAATTACTGTAGTCTGATCAGCAGGAAGAAATTATTTGCTGTAGAATTTAATTTTGACCATGATGCTTTGCAGAACTACAGCAACATGCTGAAAACACGTTTTACAGTAAGGATTTGTCCATTATACAGTAATAATGCTGTGAAAACTACAGACTTTTGTTACAGTGTACTATTTACATTTATATTAATATTTTTATGTCACAATTTTTGCACTTGAGTGCAGTATTTTTGATGATGGTTAGTTTACTTAAACTACAGTACTACATGTGGATGTATAAGTACTTGATAGTTAAAGCATTCTTACTTTTGTAATTGATGTTTCCTGTTGTACTTTCATCAGTTATCACATATTTTGACATACCTTAAAGTGTAAGTAAACCTTTCTCTGACATATGTCATTTGGTACTTGTTTGTATTCGGTGCTCTTTTTGCAGTTTTACAAATGAAATATTTTCTTTCATTAAATCCTGCTAAACGCAACGACCTGTCTGTTCCTTGGAGGAAACACAGCTGGATAATATAATGTTAAGCTGGCTGTATAGCTAAAAAATGTTTTTTTTTCCAGTGACACTAAACTCACTAAACTACTGAAGGTGATGAAAGCAAAACTCAGAAAAATGACCAGCTAAAGAAATTATATTGAACCTGTTCTGGCTGATTTTGTAGATATCAAGAAGTGAAACAACTTCTCAATAACTGGCCTGTTTTAATCTGTGTTTAATGATCTCGAGGTCTGTGAATGCATCAGAGCTAAAACTACTCTAACAGGAAGTAAACAAAAATAAACAAAAATGTTACTGAAGACTTGCAGCGATGCAGTTGAGGAAGATCTGATGGGGATCCGGAAATCTCTAAACGTCATGTCGGTTGCATTTAGCACAGTGGCTACAAGCTACGATACTTGACTTGAATCAAGATGAAGTGAAACAACAGAAGAATCTTATGGAAAAGTAGAAAAAGTAAACTGATGGCTGAGAACTAAGAATAGATGACTTGGAGAATTACACAAGAATGGATGATTTAAACAATCAATCATTAATCATCATCATCAACAGACAAGATTATTTATTTTAATTGTATATGTTTGATGCGATCGCTGTGAGTGACAGTCAGCTTGATGATGATAAATTATATGACAAGATATCAGATGTTGAGGATCAATAAAAGAAGAAAAGGGTTAGGCCTGATATGTTGTACAGTTTTAACCCTATGGGCCCGAACGACGCATAGTGTGTCCAAATTCACACTTGTTCTTCTCTGTGGATTTTCTCCACGTCCGTGCATCATAGTGAAAAGCCACACATATCACGTGAAACAGCGGAACTGTAGCTTTCCGAGAAGGCCAAGCACTTGTCGGTAGTCCAATGTTTTCACAGCAAAAAAAAAAAAGATAAATTTACACTAAAATGATGTATAACAGAGCTTTCATACAGCTTTGCACACACATTACTCTTGGATAGATAACTCGCGAATGCAGGCTTGCACAGAAGTGCCACGCATATCACATGAAAGCGCAGGACAAAAGCTTTCCAGGGATACCACACACACCATTGTGCTGTCATCCCATCATGCTATAAATACAGATTGATTGTCTACAAAATAAAAACCTGATGAATTTCTTTACAATCCATTATACAGATCTTGTTATCAGTCACTTCATATAGTGAGGAATATCGTATCTTACCACGTCTTAGGCTTGCGTGTGTTTCTCCCTGTCTATCCACATTTGTAGTCCAGCTTTCAAGATGCAAATATCTCCATATTGTCCAGTTGACACTCCATCAAACTTTGTATGACAAGACCAGCGCACTTCGCCTTTGCGCACCCAGACAACTGCAGCCTAATTATGCATGCATGAAAGGGCCGTAGTCACCATATACATTGAGGGGGACACGTGGCCCCCAAACCAATGCCCAAAATGTTCCCCCAGTATATAACTGAAACTGAAAAACAAATATTATCTTGGAGGACATCATTGCACTTGGTTGACTATTTTTCTATTATCTTAGATGTAAATATTGAATGTTTCTTTAAGATAAAACACATTTTTGACTTGTGAATGAGTCAATGCAATTTCTTGCAATAATGAAAAAATGCTGGCAATCATGTCCGCCTGGCACAAACCACATGTTTTGGACAGCTGTGAAGTGACAGAATGTCCCAGCATCATGGTTCTTATATTCTTCATATATGGCAGAATATGTCTTCTTCCAACTTACTATGGTGAGATACATGTAAAAATGTAAGAATTTAGTAACACGGATTTGTTTCTTTCATTGATATAAAAATCAATATAAAATACAGATACATAGAAGAACATGGAATGATGGCAAATCTGGTTAGCCCAGATTGTCCTGAAAAAAAAACAAAACAAGATATAGCATTTGTATGTAGCCTTTATAATGACTGTGACATGAGCTTAAAAGTAAAGGCAGTAAAAATACCCCAAAAACGCCTAGGGCCCAAAGGGTTAAGATGCAGTTGAATACATCACAGGAAATAAACAACTCAGAAGTAAACAAAACAGTGTCTGGATTTGAAACAAAAAATGTTATTCATTTTCTCACATGTACCTGTCGAAACATGAGCTATCAGCAAAGTTTTTTTTAATACTATTGTGGCGTATTGATTATGAATACAGTCCATCTGATGCTGGTTTTGTTTCATCACTGTAGCCAGTATCTCACTATCACTATCCTCATTCAGATTTTAAGAAGCTACAAATTATATTCAGCCACAAAACGAACCTGAAAAGCTGCAAATCAGAATGAAGCACAGAGAGTTGTTGACTAGAGATGATACGCCGTCTCATGGTGGTCACTTCCTGTCGATGTTACAGATCAGAAGCACAGAGAGTTGTTGACTAGAGATGATACGCCGTCTCATGGTGGTCACTTCCTGTCGATGTTACAGATCAGAAGCACAGAGAGTTGTTGACTAGAGATGATACGCCGTCTCATGGTGGTCACTTCCTGTCGATGTTACAGATCAGAAGCACAGAGAGTTGTTGACTAGAGATGATACGCCGTCTCATGGTGGTCACTTCCTGTCAACGTTATACGAGAGTTGTTGACTAGAGATGATATGCCGTCTCATGGTGGTCACTTCCTGTCAGCGTTAGAGATCAGAAGTACAGAGAGTTGTTGACTAGAGATGATACACCGTCTCATGGTGGTCACTTCCTGTCAACGTCACAGATCAGAAGCACAGAGAGTTGTTGACTAGACATGATACGCCGTCTCATGTTGGTCACCTCCTGTCAACGTCACAGATCAGAAGTACAGGGAGTTGTTGACTTGAATTCATTTTGTTTCCCTTTTTATGTTGTAGTGAGAAATTTTACCACCATGCCCTGAGTATTTTCACAGGAAACACTTTGTGCTGTAAATTAAATGCTACATTGATGTACCCTGCAGATTGTGGTAGGACGGTGGTCAGGATGGATGGTGGGTGTACAGAGTGCTGGACTTTGACACTGGACAACAAAATTCAAATTCTTAGTCTCTTTTGCATCATAATATGATAACCTCCCACACCAGTTTTGGTTTTTCAAGGACAGCGTGTAATTTTACGCTAGTTACAGGCAAAGCCTCTTTTTAAAATACACATCTGTTTTGGCAGGAAATGTTCAGTTTCTGCTCGTTAGATGCATCCAGTCTTTTTCAAGATAAACTTAGAACTCAGGTAAAAGTACGTCTGTGAGTGACGCTGAGGTCCACTGACTAAGCATTGGTGGTATTTGATGAGTTGGCAGTGAGAACAGCGTGATATTTTGCGGTCAGTATCAAAACTGCTCCATGTAAAAGAAAGGAAAAAAAAGATTCAGGGGTGAGAGTGTGGGTCATCAAAGATAGACTTGTCCTCCTACAGTGGACACAGAGACACTGAGGAGTCCAGTGACAGCATCAAGGACTCCACCCCAAAGCCAAACCCAAAGCCAAACCCAGGATAAAGAGGTTCAGTGAATGTGGTGTTGAAGGTGTGGAGGTGGATCAGTGTGTCAGATGAGACCCTGTAGAAGGACAGAGTCCCAGCAGGAAAGTCCACATACACTGCTACTCTACCAGAGACAGAGGAGGAGGATGAGGATGAGGAGAGACGGAGGACTGTTTCTCTGTTACTGTGCCAGAAGGAGTAACCACCATCCCAGCAGCTCAGAGTCCACGACTGATTGTTTCTTCCAAACCTGCAGTCAGCAATGTTTCCTGTCCTTCTGATTCCTCTGTACGTCACTGCTACATCAACCTCTCCTCTCCACTCCACTTCCCAGTAACAGCGACCAGTCAGACCATTTATACACAGCAGCTGACAGCAGCTGTCAAATCTGTCTGCATGACTGGGATAAGGCTGTTCTTTCTCTCCCACCAGGGTCACCTTCCTGTTGTCTTCAGACAGTTTGAGCTTTTTGTGAGTAGTGTTTTTGTCCACTGTAAGTTCACAGGCATCTGACAGGGACAACAAGACACGATGGCAGCAGTTTATAATCTATTCAGTTACTGACATACTGGAAGTTATATAAAGTTCCAAAGATTGAATAACAAAATTCAATTTAAAAGAAAAATATAAAGATAGTTGTAAACATTTACCTGTAATGTGATATTTAAATGTCATGTTTAATGTTTGTGAATCAAACTGATTTCACACTCACACTTTCTCAGACCAGGTTTTAACCTCTGTTTCCCAGCATGGTCCAGCCTGGAGGAAGAAACACATCATGTATGATCTTGGATTATTTAATATCATTTGCTCTAAATGACACGAGTCCTAACTGCTGTTAAATGTGTTAAAGTGTTTCTCAGCTTGCTGGTATGACTAAGAATCAATCTCAGTTGCATTTTTGATGTATGAAAGGCGCTATATAAATAAAGTTTGATTGATTGATTGATTAACTTTTCCGTTTCCTCACTTGTGTCCGCAAAAGAAAAAATACTATAATGTGATGTACTGTACAAATAATAAACCTTTAAAATCATTTTCTTCAATGAGCAGCGATTTTATGCAGTAACTGAATACTTACAGGTGAGATGTTTGTGCATTTTGTAATTGAACCCTTCTGACTTTGATCAGTTTCAAAGAACTGACTGTGATCTAAAAACTCAGTTGATTTTAAGGCCACTAGAGAATGAAAGGAGGCATGAATCATGGTGGTTGAGGCACAAATGAAGTTCTGACAAGAATGAGCCTTGTATTCCTTTAGCCCTTAGCAGTAATGATTTTATGAGCTTTTTTAATGACAAAATTCTAACTAGTAGAGGCAAAATTCATGACCTCCTGTCCTCAGATAGTACCTATCTAACCTCAAACACAGCTGTAAGACCTAATATATATTTAGATTGCTTCTCCCCAATTTCTCTTCAAGAATTGACAGCACTGATTTCTTCATCTAAATCATGAACGTGTCTCTTAGACCCCATCCCAACTAGGATACTTAAGGAGGTCTTACCTTGAGTTAACACTCATATATTAAATATGATCAATATATCCTTATTAACAGGCTATGTACCACAGTCTTTTAAGGTAGCTATAATTAAACCTCTCCTAAAAAAGCCCACCCTGGATCCAGAAGTGTTAGCCAACTATAGACCAATATCTAATCTTCCCTTTATGTCAAAGATCCTTGAGAAAGTAATCACAGACCAGCTGTGTGATTTTCTCCATGATAATAAATTATTTGAGGAATTTCAGTCAGGATTTAGAGTGCATCATAGCACTGAGACAGCACTAGTTAAAATTACAAATGACCTTCTGATTGCTTCAGACAAAGGACTTGTCTCTGTTCTTGTTTTATTAGATCTTAGTGCGGCGTTTGACACTATTGACCATCAAATTCTGCTACAGAGACTGGAACATTTAATTGGCCTAAGAGGTTCTGCACTAAGCTGGTTTAAATCTTATTTATCTGATCATTTTCAGTTATTTGACGTTCATAATGAATCATCCTTACGTACCAAAGTTTGTTTTGGAGCTCCGCAAGGTTCTGTGCTCGGACCAATCCTATTTACTCTATATATGCTTCCTTTAGGTAACATCATTAGAAATCACTCTGTAAATTTCCATTGTTATGCGGATGATACACAGTTGTATTTATCTATGAAGCCAGAAGAAAGTAATCAATTAACTAAACTTCATAACTGCTTAAAAGACATAAAAACCTGGATGAGCACCAATTTCCTGATGTTAAATTCAGACAAAACTGAAATTATTGTTCTTGGCCCCAAACAACTCAGAGACTCTTTATCTGATGACATAGTTTCTCTAGATGGCATTGCTCTGGCCTCTAGCACTACCGTAAAAAATCTCTGAGTAACATTTGATCAAGATTTGTCGTTTAATTCTCATTTAAAACAAACCTCACGGACTGCATTTTTTCATCTGTGTAATATTGTGAAAATTAGGCCTATCCTGACCTGAAAAAATGCAGAAAAATTGGTCCACGCTTTTGTTACCTCAAGGCTGGATTACTGTAACTCTCTATTATCAGGTAGCTCTAGTAAGTCCTTAAAAACTCTCCAGCTAATTCAGAATGCAGCAGCACGTGTACTAACAGGAACTAAGAAACGAGATCATATTTCTTCGGTTTTAGCTCCAGAATTGAATTTAAAATCCTACTGTTTACTCATAAAGCTCTAAATGGTCAAGCTCCATCATATCTTAGAGAGCTCATAGTGCCATATTATCCCACCAGAACTCTGCACTTTGAAAATGCAGGGTTACTCGTGGTCCCTAAAGTCTCCAAAAGTAGATCAGGAGCCAGAGCCTTCAGCTATCAGGCTCCTCTCCTGTGGAATCATCTTCCTGTTGTGGTCCGGGAGGCAGACACCATCTCCACATTTAAGACTAGACTTAAGACTTTCCTCTTTGATAAAGCTTATAGTTAGGGCTGGCTCAGGCTTGCCCTGTACCAGCCCCTAGTTAGGCTGACTTAGGCCAAGTCTGCCGGGGGACCCCCCTATAATACACCGGGCACCTTCTCTCTCTCTCTTTCTCTCTCTCTCTCTCTCTCTTGTATTCTATTACTGCATCTTGCTAACTCGGCCATTCTGGATGTCACTAACTCGGCTTCTTCTCCGGAGCCTTTGTGCTCCACTGTCTCTCAGATTAACTCATATCACAGCGGTGCCTGGACAGCGTGACGTGTGTGGTTGTGCTGCTGCCGTGGTCCTGCCAGATGCCTCCTGCTGGTGCTGCCATCATTAGTCATTAGTCATACTTCTACTGTTATTATACACATATGACTATTGTCACACATGTATACTGCCAGATACTAATATATACTTTAAACATATTGTACCACAGTAGCCAGAACTATAACTATAATATTATTACTTTCATTAATGTTGTTGTAAGGTACTGTCATTACCGTCTGTCCTGCATCTCTGTGTTTCTCTGTCTTTGTCTCTCTCTGTCTGTCTCTCTGTCTCTCTCTGTCTGTCTCTCTGTCTCATTGTGTCATACGGATTACTGTTAATTTATTATGTTGATCTGTTCTGTACGATGTCTATTGCACGTCTGTCCTTCTTGGAAGAGGGATCTCTCCTCAGTTGCTCTTCCTGAGGTTTCTACCATTTTTTCCCTGTTAAAGGGTTTTTTGGGGAGTTCTTCCTGATCACCTGTGAGGGTCCTAAGGACAGAGGGATGTCTTGTGCTGTAAAGCCCTGTGAGGCAAATTGTGATTTGTGATATTGGGCTTAATAAATAAAATTGATTGATTGATTGAATTCAGTTAGGTAGATTTAACTTTTGCATGCTTAGACCTGTAATTTATTTCTTAGACCATCTGCTATTCACTCCTCACCTGCATGCTCATTTATAATTTCTGGCTGTCATTGTCCGGTGCTGTCAATTGAGGTATCAGCTGTTCCATCAGCTGATATCTGCACACCCTCCACCTCCCCATCCCTACCATTTATCAGATTCATCAGCCACAGCCATCTCAGCTGTTATTAGCAATATTCTGACAACACCTTTGCTGATATTCCAAGGACTAAAAGAGTCAGTTTGGGTCTGATCATCACCCATCATCTGTTAACCTGCATGCCTGTGATCTGTAATGAACATTTATATTTACTTCACTGAATTGTCTCTCCTACAAATTCTGACCTCTTTTCTGTTTACTCGTACCTGAGAGTGTCCAGTCTCCAGAGTGCATCCTCCAGTCCAGCAGTCAGCAGCTTCACTCCTGAGTCTCCTGGATGATTGTAGCTCAGGTCCAGCTCTCTCAGATGGGAGGGGTTGGACTTCAGAGCTGAGGCCAGAGCAACACAGCCTTCCTCTGAGACCATACATCCTGACAGACTGAAAAAAGGTTGGTTAGCAAAAAGACAGGACTCCTCACTGACATCAACCACCATGAAAAGCATTTAAATGCTAATTTCTTTATCAAACTGCAAATCACTTACCCGAACATTTCCAATGTACAGTGTGGACTATCCAATCCAGCAGACAGCAGCTTCACTCCTGAATCCTGGAGGTCGTTGTTTCTCAGGTCCAGGTCTCTAAGACTGGAGGGCTGGGAGCTGAGAACTGAGGACAGAGCCTCACAGCTTCGCCATGACAGTTTACATACACCCAGCCTACCAAGAAATGAAAATATTTTCTGCAATTTATTTGAATATTTAATGCAATTTATACCTGCATGTGTGAGAATCAAGGCAAACATGATTAAGTGTCAAAACCATAAAATTTCCAGTGCTACCACCCAAATTAATCTAAACCATCTTATGTTCTACACAGACATGTGGTGCTTTAATGTATTAAAAAAGAAATGAATTAAAAAAAATTGTTTTGACTTAAATAAAGCATTTCTCTTGCAAATTGACTAACATAATAATATACCTTAACTGTCCCGTTTTACTAAGGGTGGTGGAAAATCGATACTCACGATATTTTGCGTGGCAATATGGTATCAATACATGGAGACCAAATAACTACATTTTTTTGTCATAGAAATATAAATAAGAATTGTGTCACTATTGTATCATGGGGCCTTTGGTGATTCCCACCCCTACATTTTAAAGATTAAACCTGACCTAAGCGTCTCCAGTGTACAGTGTGGACTCTTCAGTCCAGCAGACAACAGGTTCAACCTGGACTCCTGCAGGTTGTTGTTACTCAGGTCCAGGTGTCTCAGACTGGAGGACTGGGAGCTGAGAACTGAGGACAGAGCTTCACAGCTTCTCTGTGAGAGGTTACAGCCACTCAGCCTGAAGAAAAATTAGTGATGGTCAAGTTTCAATGAAAATACTGTTTATCCTCTGAGACATATCAAATATTAACATTCATATATTCAATGAGTCATTCACTTACAGAGCTTTGTTGGAGGCTTTGACCACTGGCAGCAGCCTCAGAAGAGCCTCCTCCGAAGCAGAGTATTTCTTCAGGTCAAACACGTCCAGATCTTTTTCTGATGACAGTAAGATGAAGACCAGAGCTGACCACTGAGCAGATGAGAGTTTGTCTCTGGTGAGACTTCCTGAACTCAGGTACCGCTGGATCTCCTCCACTAGAGAATGATCATTCAGTTCATTCAGACAGTGGAATAGGTTGATGCTTCTCTCTGCAGACAGATTCTCACCAATCTTCTTTGTGATGTATTTGACTGTTTTGTGATTGGTGTCTGAGCCACTTCCTTTCTGTGTCAGCAGACCCTGTAGGTGTTTTTGATTGGTCTCCAGTGACAGACCCAGGAGGAAGCGGAGGAACAAGTCCAGGTGTCCATTTGGACTCTGTAAGGCCTTGTCCACAGCACTCTGGTGGAGATATGTTGGTTTAGGTTTGTCTCTGAAGACTTTAGACAGCCGAGTGGTGCCTGTTGGTTGTTCTGCCATCAGGTTGACTCCAGAGTTGATGAAGGTCAGATGGACATGAAGAGCAGCCAGAAACTCCTGAACACTCAGATGGACGAAGCAGAACACCTTGTCCTGGTACAGTCCTCTCTCCTCTTTAAAGATCTGTGTGAACACTCCTGAGTACACTGAGGCTGCTGTGATATCGATGTCACACTCTCTCAGGTCTGATTCATAGAAGATCAGGTTGCCTTTCTGCAGCTGATCAAAAGCCAGTTTTCCCAGAGACTCAATCATCTTCCTGCTCTCTGGACTCCAGTGATGATCTGTCTCAGCTCCTCCATGATACTTGACGTTCTTCAGTTTGGACTGAACCACCAGGAAGTGGATGTACATCTCAGTCAGGGTCTTGGGCAGCTCTCCTTCCTCTCTGGTCTTCATCACATCCTCCAGAACTGTAGCAGTGATCCAGCAGAAGACTGGGATGTGGCACATGATGTGGAGGCTTCGTGATGTCTTGATGTGGGAGATGATTCTGCTGGCCTGCTCCTCATCTCTGAATCTCTTCATGAAGTACTCCTCCTTCTGTGGGTCAGTGAACCCTCTGACCTCTGTCACCATGTCAACACAGTCAGGAGGGATCTGATTGGCTGCTGCAGGTCGTGTGGTTATCCAGAGGCGAGCAGAGGGAAGCAGTTTCCCCCTGATGAGGTTTGTCAGCAGCACATCCACTGAGGTGGACTCTGTAACATCAGTCAGGATCTCATTGTTGTGGAAGTCCAGAGGAAGTCGACACTCATCCAGACCGTCAAAGATGAACACAACCTGGAACTCTTCAAACCTGCAGATTCCTGCTTCTTTGGTTTCAGTAAAGAAGTGATGAACAAGTTCCACCAAGCTGTACTTTTTCTCTTTCAGCACATTCAGCTCTCTGAAAGTGAATGGAAATGTGAACTGTATGTCCTGGTTGGCTTTGTCTTCAGCCCAGTCCAGAGTGAACTTCTGTGTTAAGACTGTTTTCCCAATGCCAGCCACTCCCTTTGTCATCACTGTTCTGATTGGTTCATCTCTTCCAGGTGAGGCTTTAAAGATGTCTTCTTGTCTGATGGTTGTTTCTGGTCTGTCTGGTTTCCTGGATGCTGTTTCAATCTGTCTGACCTCATGTTCATCATTGACCTCTGCAGTCCCTCCCTCTGTGATGTAGAGCTCTGTGTAGATCTGATTCAGAAGGGTCGGGTTTCCTGCTTTAGCGATCCCCTCAAACACACACTGGAACTTCTTCTGCAGGTTAGATTTAAATTTCCTTTGGCATAAGAGAGCTGCAGCACCAGTTCCTGAATGGTAAAAAAGATCCAAATGAAAATGTGTCGATGCTCATAAACCAGATATGTGCGAACACTAAATTCAGATAAAGGTAGATAGATAGAGTTTCTGCTCAGAAAAATTAGTGCATAGAAAACAAAATAATAATCATGAAGTATGGATGCCTCTAAAAAAGCACACTGGTGACTGAGCCATTCACACTCCCAACTTGTTAAATATCGATGTCTTGTCAGTGGACATCATCGTCAGACATGGATGCACAGAGGCACCTTTCTCAGCGGTATGATATGCAGTGGGTGGAGTCAGGTATAAAGAGTGAGAAAGTCCATATAGGGTGGGAGGGAGGGTGGTGCAGGGTCGAATATACTCTGGACTCTTACTCAAGAGCCCAAGGGAACCCACTCCTTGAGTTTTGTTGTATAACCCTCAGGACATTACCCTAAAACATGAAGTGTTTGACCTAAGTTCTGAGTTAATCTTAGAAAAGACTGTGTGCAAAACAGAAGTTCATTTTAAAATGGCACAATGCATGTAACTCTTATTAATTGATATGTGCTCTCATGGAGGAGGGTGCCTAATGAGTTGTATTTAGATGTGTGGGTCCACTGACAAAGCAGCAACATTTGACTAGGTTGGATGAGAACATGTTGGATGATCCACTCCAAGGTAATTGGAACCACACTAGTCAACTTCAAAGTTTAACCACAGATTCTTCTATTTCATTTAGCTTATTTAACTCGTCCTTTATGGACGAAGAATTCCCAAGATTTACAACAAAGATTCAAAGATTGAAAACATATATTTCTGTCATGGTGGACTTATTTCTGGTCATATTATTATATTTCAAAGACTTTTACTTCTCTGCAGACAGTCAGCCAGCTCCTCCTGTTTCATTCTCCTAAGAAAGTGCAGTGTGATCTTCAGAAACGCCTCCCTGCTGCTGCTCCTCTGCTCTTCATCACCACCATCCAACACCTCCTTATTCTCAATCTGAATCTCGGAGTATTCTGGGTAATCTGGATTCAGAACCTTCTGGAATTTATTCAGTTCATTCTTCACAAAACTGACAATGTTCTCCTCAAGCAGCTGGAATAGATAAATATTCACATATAAATTAACAGAACACAAATATGTTAAAAGGTAAGTTCATTCGTGCAGCACCCTCAACAAAGAACTTCCCTTGGAATATAAAATGCATTAAGAAAAAACCACAAGTCAGTGTTAAAAGAAAAGAAAGACAAAATAAAAACATAAGATAAAATACAGTAAAACTGATAAAACAGGATGATGAACATAACAGTACAGTGCAATATATTGAGTATCCCCAGATTTAATTTAATATGATAGAGTTGCAAAAAGAAAAGTTTTTCAGCCCAGATTTAAAAGAAGTAAAGTTAGAGCAGACCTCAAGTATTTGGGGAGTTTGCTCCACATGTATGAAGCATGAATTATAAATGGTTCTTGTTTAGTTTAGGCTCTGGGAACAGTAAGCACACCCGTCCAGATGGCCTGAGAGGTCCAGATGCTTCATAACAATGAAGCAGATCAAAAATTTACTTTGGCCATAATTGCAACAGTTATAGTTTAAAGTAAATTCTTTGACACACAGTAAACACACAGTAAACCAGTGTAAAGACTGAGAGCTGGACTAATGTGGTCTCTCCTGGTCTTAATGAGAACTGCAGCGGGAGCACATTGAATCAGCTGTCTGATCTGAGACAAGTAAAAACACTGTTCAGCCTGCTGAAGAAAAATTCTAGTTTTTCTAAATGGTATGGTGATAGTGGGATGATTTTGTCATTGTCTTAATGTGGCTATGGAAATTTAGGTCTTAAGTCCAGGACTACCCAGCTGACATTGGGTGAGATATCAGCTGTGATAGGCTCCAGCACCCTCGCGACCCCTAACAAAATAAGTTGTTACAGAGAATGAATGAATGAAAGTCCAGGACTACACCATGATTTCTGGTTTGGTTGCGTATCTTTAATGTTAGTCTGACGTTAATCACTCTTTTTTCTTTGGCTCCATAAACTGTGTTATCTTTGTTTACCTGAAGAAAAATGGAAGTGCTCATCTGGGACCAAGTTCACCTGGTAATACCTTTATATGAATAAGTGTATTGTTTACATTTTGATAAGATATTTGGTTGTTTTCCATAATCTGAGTTAGTGTGACCACGTAGATGTTGGACAGAGGAGGACCAAGAACGGAGCCTTGGGGAAGTCCAAGTAATTTTTGTCAAGCACATGATGTGGCTGCTGGTCCACAGGGTGCAGAATGGAGACTGCTAAGACCAGAATGACAGTGTGTGTTGTTAGCAGTTGCTGTTCTTGCTAATTTACACACCATGAATATGGAGTCCAGGTGAGTTTGATGCTGCTGGGTAGACTGACCACTGGAAACCTCGAAGGTCTGTTGCTGAACGCTGTGAAAATATTCTCACATTTTTAAACATTTATCTTTAATACACAGTGATGATTTTGTATGGTAGAAACACAAGATGAAGACATTAAAGTCTGATCCGATCATTGAATGTAAAAGTGTGTTTAACAGAGGAAGGTAAGTCAAGTCTTCCACTCTGTATTAAAACATGACAATGTTCTCAGCATAGTGATGAATAGATCTGTGTTCATTCTTACCTTTGACTCTTGAAGTCAACAGGTCGACCCTTTGACCGGTAACTCTTCATGGACACACAGCTGATTTCAGAGGAATCTGGTCTCTGTAGAAGGACCCTGTTTAAACACAACACCAAGTAATTCACACGTGATAATAAACTCTGCCTGGATGCTTAACTCTTTACTAATATTACATTTTCTTATCCAGCTTTCAGTTCTCACCCTGGATCAGCAGACTGCTGTCCACTCTTGAAGTCAACAGGTCGACCCTTTGACCGGTCACTCTTCATGGACACACAGCTGGATACAGGAGAGTCTTGCTGCTGTTTGATCCTCCTACAAACACAGGATGTTACAGCTTAAATACACTGTTAGATGAATACCACAAGCTTCACTGCAAAGATTAATAATTTACTCATCATTTATTTTCTTTTAACGCTGAATCAAAGTTTTTATGGTACTTTTCACTGACACTGTGCCGAGTGCAGTGTTGTCTCATCTATGCACTTTTGATCCTGACAGAAAGAACATGCTGATAAATGCATCCAAAACTTCTTTATGCAGAAACTACTGAGTTCTCACTTTTGATCATCAGACTTATGTCCATGTTTGAAGTCAACAGGTCGACCCTTTGACTGGTTGCTCTTCAAGGACACGCAGCTGGACAGAGGAAAGTTCTTCTTCTGCTGTTGGATCGTCCTTTAAACATAAGACATGATATGAAGCTCAGTGTAAGTCCAGTCAGGAAGACTTTCCTGTGCTCATTAACACAATTCTCCCTATCCCAAACCACTGCTTCCTCCAGTCAGCTGTCTTTGGGTGTTCACTCTTCTAGCTATCCAATCAAACTTTGCCATGACCTCCATCAGCCAATCAGGATGTTACTGCAAGATTTTAAATCTGCTCTCTCCTCTGCTGCTGTCAGCTGACTACGGATTCATCACCCTCCTTAAAGCACACCATCCCATAGGGGTCTAATCGCCAAAGACTTTTCACATTTTCATTTTCATGTGCACAAGCTATTATAAAGTCTCTTTTTACCAAAACCAAAAACAAGTCTCTCCTGACTGAAATATAAACACAACATTTACTGTCTCACTTAAATAAAATGAATTGAAGTACCACACTTATCAATGCTTATGTACATATACATTGAACAAAAATATAAACGCAACACTTTTGTTTTTGCTCCCATTTTTCATGAGCTGAACTCAAAGATCTAAAACATTTTCTATACACACAAAAGACCTTTTGTCCTCAAATATTGTTCACAAATCTGTCTAAATCTGTGTTAGTGAGCACTTCTCTTTTGCCGAGATAATCCATCCCACCTCACAGGTGTGGCATATCAAGAATCTGGTTAGACAGCATGAATACTGCACAGGTGTGCCTTAGGCTGGCCACAATAAAAGGCCACTCTGAAATGTTCAGTTTTATCACACAGCACAATGCCACAGATGTTTCAAGTTTTGAGGGAGCGTGCAATTGGCATGCTGACTGCAGGAATGTCCACCAGAGCTGTTGCCCATGAACCAAATGTTCATTTCTCTACCATAAGCCGTCTCCAAAGGCGTTTCAGACAATTTGGCAGTACATCCAACCGGCCTCACAATTGCAGACCACATGTAACCACACCAGCCCAGGACCTCCACATCCAGCATGTTCACCTCCAAGATCGTCTGAGACCAGCCGCCCGGACAGCTGCTGCAACAATCGGTTTGCATAAGCAAAGAATTTCTGCACAAACTGTCAGAAACCGTCTCAGGGAAGCTCATCTGCATGCTCATCGTCCTCATCGGGGTCTCGACCTGACTGCAGTTTGTCGTCGTAACCGACTTGAGTGGGCAAATGCTCACATTCGATGGCGTCTGGCACGTTGGAGAGGTGTTCTCTTCACGGATGAATCCCGGTTTTCACTGTTCAGGGCAGATGGCAGACAGCGTGTGTGGCGTCGTGTGGGTGAGCGGTTTGCTGATGTCAACATTGTGGATCAAGTGGCCCATGGTGGCGGTGGGGTTATGGTATGGGCAGACGTATGTTATGGACAGCGAACACAGGTGCATTTTATTGATGGCATTTTGAATGCACAGAGATACCGTGACGAGATCCTGAGGCCCATTGTTGTGCCATTCATCCACGACCATCACCTCATGTTGCAGCATGATAATGCACGGCCCCATGTTGCAAGGATCTGTACACAATTCCCGGAAGCTGAAACCATCCCAGTTCTTGCATGGCCAGCATACTCACCGGACATGTCACCCATTGAGCATGTTTGGGATGCTCTGGATCGGCGTATACGACAGCGTGTTCCAGTTCCTGCCAATATCCAGCAACTTCGCACAGCCATTGAAGAGGAGTGGACCAACATTCCACAGGCCACAATCAACAACCTGATCAACTCTATGCGAAGGAGATGTGTTGCACTGCGTGAGGCAAATGGTGGTCACACCAGATACTGACTGGTTTTCTGACCCCCCCAGACCCCCCCAATAAAGCAAAACTGCACATTTCAGAGTGGCCTTTTATTGTGGCCAGCCTAAGGCACACCTGTGCAATATTCATGCTGTCTAATCAGCATCTTGATATGCCACACCTGTGAGGTGGGATGGATTATCTCGGCAAAGGAGAAGTGCTCACTAACACAGATTTAGACAGATTTGTGAACAATATTTGAGGACAAAAGGTCTTTTGTGTGTATAGAAAATGTTTTAGATCTTTGAGTTCAGCTCATGAAAAATGGGAGCAAAAACAAAAGTGTTGCGTTTATATTTTTGTTCAATGTATGTATAAATACTACATACAAAAGTATGTAGAATAGTCTCTGACAGACAAACAATGTTCTTTCAGTTTTGGATTCTCACCCTGGATCAGCAGACTGTTGTCCATGTTTGAAGTCAACAGGTCGACCCCTTGACCGGTCACTCATCATGGACACACAGCTGGATACAGGAGAGCCTTGTATCTGCTGGGCAATCCTTCTACAAACACAGGACAATCATTTTTAAAAGAGCTTCATAAATCCTTTACAGTAATAAAATATGCTTCCAAATAGCAATTTAATTATAAAGATGTTTTCATATGAACCTGATAAAATAACTTAATTGGTTGCTTGTCATTAAAACACAGATGAGTTCATGTTGTGGTAACTTCAAAAATATTCAGGATAAAATACTGCTGAAATTAAATTTCTGTCAGACAAATCCTGTACTGTCAGTTTTCGAGTCTTACCCAGGATCAGCAGATTGTTGTCCATGTTTGAAGTCAACAGGTCGACCCTTTGACCGGACACTCCGCATGGACACACAGCTGGACACAGGATAGTCTGATCTTTTGAACACAGATACAGAGCTGTGAATAATGATGGTGGAGTGATTTGAGTCATGGACGGTTAGAGATCCTGGTCTCACCTCTGAGCTTTGGTCTGGCTGTCATGTTCCCCACACAGAGTGGTATTAGAGGGAGGGACTAAATCCTCTCTGTCCTCACCCTGATTCATAGCAGAGTTCACACCTTCACACAGACACAACAACATGTAGTCACTCATAAGTTTTACGTCACAGGACACATCTGTTCTTGTCACCGTCACTTAGACTCAGAGATAAAAGAACACTGGTTTTGATTACTGTAAAATATATTCCACAATCAAACTGTGGTCAAATAATTTGTTCTACATTTTTTAGGGATTGAGGCAGAAACACTTGCTGCTGGAGTTGTGTTGTATTTGTTGACATTATTCTTCACCTCCCTTTCTTTGTTACCTTGGCTACTTATTTTTTTTTCATAAATCAAAAACTCACCAAATTTGGCAGGTGGGTTGCAAATGCCGCCCCCCTAGTCAGGCACATAAAATGATACTCATTGAAAACAAGGTGGTGCTGTTTATGTTATTACAACTATGTTACTCCAAAGCATCAGACACCAATGAAATAAGTCATCCTTTCACCTCGGAACGATTCATGGGTGGTAGTTCTTATTGTGTAATGGTAGGTGGTGACGTCAGGGTGAGACGTAGTGGGACAGTAACACAAGTTAACACAAGTTAAGGTGGCAGAATTCTGAATAGGGCAGGTGAGTGGGGTGGTGGATGGATTGAAAAACCACCGACATTCATTCAGGAGGTTGGTGTTCACTCTCTGACAGATTGATAAGCCAAACCCTGTTCTTTCTTCCTAAACCCAACCACGTGTGTGTTGGCTAAACGTATCCACGTGTGTGTGTGTTGGCTAAAAGTAACCGTGTGTGTGTGTGTGTTGGCTTAATGTAACCTGTGTGTTTTGGCTAAATGTAACCACGTGTGTTGGTTAAACATAGCCACGTGTGTGTGTAGCTTAAACGTAATCACGTGTGTGTGTTGGCTAAATGTAAGCACGCGTGCGTATTGGGTAAATGTAAGCACGTGTGTGTGTCGGCTAAACGTAACCACGTGTGTGTGTCGGCTAAATATAACCACGTGTGTTTGTCAGCTAAACATAACCACGTGTGTCGGTTAAACGTAACCACGTGTGTGTGTGTTGGCTAAACGCAACCACGTGTGTGTGTTGGCTAAATGCAACCATGTGTGTGTGGTGGCTAAATGTAACCATGTGTGTGTGTTGGCTAAATGCAACCATGTGTGTGGTGGCTAAATGTAACCATGTGTGTGTGTTGGCTAAACGTAATCACGTGTGTGTGTTGGCTAAGCGTAATCACGTGTGTGTGTTGGCTAAGCGTAACCACGTATCTGTTGGCTAAACGTAACCAAGTGTGTGTTGGCTTAATGTAACCATGTGTGTGTGTGTTGATTAAACATAATCTGGTGTTGTAGGAAAAAACTAAGTTGTACAGACATAGTGCTTTTATTTTGAAAGAGACTGTATGCAAACTGTACATTTCCTGTGAAAACAGAAGTGTATTTTGAAAATAGACTGGGGCGCTGAAAAGGGGGGAAAAAAGAGAAGGATTCTAGGGGCCCATGATTAAGAGGGGCCCAGAGAGGGCCGTAATAAAATTATAATACTGACAAAAAATAATATGACACCAAGTTATTAACTAACTTATAAACACAAATGTATTTTATTTACAATGTACTGGTAACAAAAACTTTATTTGTTTTGGAAACATTCAGACAGCAGGTAAGGAGGCGGAGATGGCAATTTGCCTCAAAAATCAAGTAGCCATAAATGGAAAGAAAGGAAGCTAAGAGAGGAGAAAGAAGCAAAGGGTCGACAGTATGTCAACCAGTATATCAAAAAGCAAGGTGGGTTTGTTAGTGGTCCACGTGGTGGAAAGTTCTGGAATATTAAATTTGTCTGTGGTCTATAATCTAGCTCACTTTTCTCCCCATGTTAGCTTATATTCCTGAAGAAAACTCTGGATTTGTACATTTCACTGTTGTCTTAGTTAAATAATCAGTACAGTCAAATGTTTAGCAAGCTGCACATATTCAATCAGTTGACCTCCCCTCTGTCCAAATGATGCTTTGTTCTGAACAGATACATCAAGTGCTGCAGCAGCTGTCTGTCAGCGGCCCACTCCAGCTGCCCCTGAACCAGTACCCCTACGAAGAAGGAGGTGAGCAGCTGTGTGTTGAATTAATAATAATGATAAACTGTATTACAGACTCAAGTGTTATTTAAGAACAAAAAACAATACACACAAAATATATAAAAGATGAATCTATTATTATGGAAAAGATTATTTAAAATAAATGAAATAAAAATCGTTCTGAACAATTT